TACACGACTCGTGAAGTGATTTAGATGAAACATTTTAATTCGAAATGCTGATCCATTCTTGAAATTTCTCGTAATAAAATCTTAGAAGAACAAGCTACGAGTTTTTCTAATTTATCTTGTTCGACTTTTACCCCTTTAAGAATGCGTTCTATACGAATAAAAATTCTACGCACAAATAATATGTGAACGTCCACTAAAAGGATTAAAAGTACATGAAAAATTGTACAAAAAATATCCTTTTGGAAAAGACACGATGAAACTGATAATCTCGATCAATGATCAGTTTTATCGCGTTACAAAACCTTAGAAACACAGAGAAAATATCGCAAAATGCATTGATGCATATGCGATGACAGAAGCTAACCGTTAAAATGATCAGGATGATTTTTTTCAGAACCACAGAGAGGAAAAAAAGATATGAAAAAAAACATATTTACGTGTGTCCTTTTTTTTTATAGTGTAAAACTGCGATAAGAAAGAACAAGTACGATGTTATTGAAAACAGCTGAGAGGTGCTCTTTCCAACCGTCGTGTGTGATATATATATTACAATCGAAAATGATTGGTGTGTACAATATGTTTTTCTAATGTGTAAATGTGTAAAAGGATAGGAAAACAAATGGCGCGAAAAGATATAGATACACACGCATTGGGAACATCAATTTCCTGACGTTTTTCTTCCTTTAAAGAACGCGTTATCATTTATACAATGTACAATGGGTCTCAGTTACGTTCAAAAATCATCGCGATTCAATGCGATGGCTGCGATTATTTAAGAGTAGAAGGGATCTTAAGGGATTGAATTATAAGGGGTCGAGGGATTTTTTTAGATGAATCTAAACATAAACGATTTCTTTCCTCTAGAGCGTCTCCTTTGTCAAAAATCTTCATATTTTACAATTGGAAAGTATATTTGTGAATGTATGTGCCTGTATGTGTATGGAAATAGGGAGGGGGGAAAGGGAGGGGAGTGTCGATAGATGGTAGAAACCATTTTTAAAACGGTAGGAGAAAGGGAAATATCAACGTATATTGATCGAAGGTCAGCAGCATTAGAACGTAAATCATATTTAAATTTAATATAATTAGTAATTATTATAATACACGATATTCACAAAGTCCGTTAAAAAGGAGAGAATTCCCGTGAAAAATAAAATATTCATTGAATTTACGGTTCCTCACGATAGGGTTGTCACGTCGTACCTATACACATTTGTTATTTATTTATATCACAATTTACAAAATTTGAGGATCTCAGGAATAAAGAGGAAGAGAGCAAAGGGATAAGGATCAGGGGAAAAGGGATACAAGAAGGATGTAAGAGTAGAAAAAAAATGCTTCGCGCTTAAAGGCGACAAACGTAAAAATGAACAAAGGAGAACCGTGCTGACGACTTGATGTCTCTCCTCATTGTTTCTGTCTTTTTGTTTCATTCTTTTCATCTCGTGCTAAATTCCGTCTCTAAGAAAAAAAAAAAAAAATACATACATGTACATAATATATTGATTCATCTTTGAAATTTCTATAAATGTAAAAACGAATATTAAAATCGATTTTCCTTTCCATCTTCTTTTTTTTTTTTTTTCTTTTTTTTTTTCCTTTCACGAACAATTTGAAGCAATCAAAGGGCAGATTAACTGTCAGGTCAGGGATACTCAGCTTCATTCCCATGTCGAACGTTATGCTAGATACAATCAACATATCAGTAGCTCCTAACCTCTTGAATCGAATCTTGAACCGATATCGATTCGTTGATCGAACGTATACCGCACGTAAAAAGATAATACTACTTTTAGCGTGCAAAGATAGGTACGGTACACTTGCGATCAAAACGTTTCGTGCATAAAGTTTACGGCCATCACACTTTCGTTACAACTCGATATAAATGCATGCAGCTCTAAGATCTATCCTAGCTGTCTAAACACAATTTTTTCTTCTTTGAATTTTTTGCTGTTTTTTACCGAGCTTTAATCACGTCGAGCCGTATGACTCATCCAACTTCTCCTACTTTCCATTGTTTTACATCTTTTTTTACGTATGCGTTTAAATGTTTACCAGAGGACCGGAGCTATGCTCCTTCAAAAGTGCTGAGTTTAAAAAGGATAACGGGTTAAATAACAATTTTACCCAAATTCTTATAAATTATCGGAATTATCGTGCCGTTGTAATTGCTCTAAAACTCACTGATAAACGAGAGGCGCTTAAAAGACAATCAACCATCTCAGCACTACAGTTTCTCATATACAATTGCTGAAAGCTTTATCCAATTGTTGCGAAGAAACTCGGTTCTCGAACGGTTATTAATGCAACTTTCGTGACATTTCAATGTAAAATTGCTATGAATATATTACTCGGCAGCACGTTGGATTACTAATAAAAAAAATGCACTGCACCTCTAACGTTATTCTAAAAGTTGATTTTTCCTGACACACATTTGACCTTGAAATTTTTTTTTTTTTTTCCTCCTTGCACCGTTTTCTCGCGTTGTCCATTCTTGTTGTTCTGTACAAATTGTTAATTTCCCCTTTTATTTTTTCTTTTTTCTTTTACGGTTTTGCAAAAATAAGAAAAATCGTCTCGGTAGTTCTTTTTTCGTCTTAAATGGATACGCGCATCTTCTTTTTCTTTCAAGCTTTATACTTGCAAGAAGGGACAACGAGATAAACGGTGCGAAATGCATCCTTTTTTTCCTCGTCCATTAAATTTAATGGCGATACGTTGCATAAATATTAGATGTTGATGTTGGTACGTGTTTTTTCTTGAACGTACAAAAATCTTCAAATTTTTACTTTTTTCGAATTCGTACGTTTATAAAACCTGCGTTGGCTGCTGAGCTGGTGTAGATACTGGACCAGCAGCAGAAGCAGGCGGTCCTATAGGACCAAGATCACCTCCACCACTCGAAGCTCCAGCAGGCGTTGCCACTCCCATCGCGGATGCAGTTTTCATGAAGAATTTCTCTAGTTTGACAATGATGTGCTTGCCATAGGTGTATTTGCGCAAGCTACCTAAATGTGGGCGGATCTTGTGCATCAATACCTTACGTTGCGCTGGTTCTGCTACATCGATCATTTTTTGAACCACATAGTTGGCATACTGATCCTTCATCATGACGTTTAATGCGCTATTTCGTAACAAGTACAAATAATACAAATAATTAGTTACGAACCAAGAAGCAATAAAATTGTGATTAAAAAAAAAAAAAAAAAAAAAAAAAAAATTT